AAGCGCAAGCGCCACAGCCGGCTCAGTGCGGAACGGGTTCGCCTCGGCAGGGCAGAGGCATCCCGCCCCGTCACACCAAAGCTATCCTTATAATTATTAATTAGAAAGAACAGGCAGGAACTTTCCATGTGATTTCCCCCACTATGTAAAATAACCCGACACACCTCTGAAATAAATACATTTTGGGAACTATGATTCCTGCAGAAAGGACTATATCCATGGCAATTTTAACCTTCCATGTGACACTGACAACTTGCAGTTAATAAGCAAAGATGACAATCTTATGAAGCCCATAAATAAAAAGACTGACATTTCATACACCCTCAACAAAGGATGCATGAAACCAGGCTGATTTCAGCAGCACAATGAGATTACCGCTGATCTGCAATCGTGCTTTTTTCTCCTCCAGCACTCAGTCTGCAGTTGAAGAAAATGCCAAATGCTAACGAGACTGGCAAGCTTTCTCCGTTACAGCCACTGTCTGGCCCTGATTCAGTAAAGCTCTTTGCAATGTGCCATGCGCTGAAAACCCAGTGACTTCAAAATGGCTTCCTTGGCACTTTCTCCTAGTCTAGGCAGTGTTCTTGCCCTGAAGAGCTCACTCTGAATGGACAAGACAAAGGGAGAAAGGGGAGATGGACACAGAGAGGTGTAATGACTTCCCCAAGACCATGCAGTTGGTCAGCAGCAGAAGTGGGAATAGATTTGACTTGAATTCTTGCAATGCTGACAGGCTCATGCGCAACCAAAAGTTGTGGGCTCAGGGCTCAGATTACTGGGTGAAAATTCCATGCCCCCATGTGATGTAGGAGAGCTGACTGATTGATTGCAATGGTCTCTTCTGGCCTCACTATTTATGAACTGAAGTCTTCTAATTCCCAGATGAAGGTCCTGCCCACACCACACTCCGGGATGGCTTCTTCTCAGTGAAGACCCAACATTGCACGGATGGTCCTTCTAATTCCATCCCATAATGCAGACTCTTGTGTCTGGAAATTAACTCAAACCTTCTTCCTACAGCAGCACTGGTCCCTCTAGAGTCTGGCCTTCCAGAGTCCCAGAATGCACTGGTATAACCATGGGGTGAGTATACTGCATAGGACACACTCCAAAACTGTTCTGTCAAAGCCAGCATTGATCTGCCCAGCATCTGATCTGACTTCTTGGCCTTTGGACTGTGCTATGGACTTTTCCCTTAGTGGACAATAGGAGCTTGCAACGTTCTAGGGCAAAAGGACAGCCCGTCATAGGGGGTTTTTGGCCGCATCTCCAGAACAGGAAGGGTGTTGTCTCTCTATATGCTGGTTGCAAGCCACTGTATCTGGAAGCTTGTCTTCTCTTCTAAGTACCTCTGTGCCAGCGAGCTGAAAACACATTTGAAAGAGAGACGCGAGTTCGGAGGTGTGGCGACTGATTTACAAGGAAAGGTCGAGACTGCTGGCTCTGTGCAGTTTGAAGACCGGCAACCCCAAGGATGGGGAAAGGAATTGTTGCAGGCCATAAGATCTGTGGGGTCACTTCCTTTGGGACCCCACCGATGCTACTGAAAACTAAACTAGAGACTAGTTTGTTGAATCCTGCACTAGCCTGCAGAAGAGCTGGGCCCACCTACCTCTAGACCCACCTTGATTGTCCAACGAAGGTTTATTTACACGGGGTTGCAATTTTTGTGGTATTTCCTGCCACAGACAGTCATGGGATGTCAACTCCTCACTCTGGGTAACAAGGGGTTAAGGAACTGCAGGCCACTCCACCCCCACCACCCCTTATGTGTCCTGAGGCTGGCAAAGGCGTTTAAGAGGGGGAACAGAGAGCTCATGTGGCAGATGAGGGAAGGGACAAGACCTTCTACTCCCAGCACCTGATGAAAGGGCTGAGGAAAGGTAGGAGCTCCTGAGGAGAGTGACACCTCCTCTCTGAGGGAAGTCTGAGCCCGAGGCTGATGCACTTAAATGTGAATAATTCCTTTGTACGTCTTATGAACTCGTTTTGTTTCTAATGATTCTGCTAGCTTTTTTGTTCATGGACTGCGCTGGAAGGGGAGAGTGACCTGGCTGGAGGGTCAGCTCGTAAGAAGAGGCAGAGCACCCCAAGATGCAGAGCAACCATTGGCAGGAGGCACTTGGTAGGCAAAGAGCTGCAATGCCATGCTTGGCCATAAGGAGGTACTAGCAATGAGTGAAGTCCCTTTGCATAAACACCAACCTTAAACAAGCTAATTTTACTTTTGAGAAACCTTTTAAAAACCCCTTTTGTAATCGTTTTATGCAATATGTCCTTCCACTAGGAAATACAGTTCCTAGTGAAATAGTAAGAGGAAAACATTAGGGGGAAGGCTTAAAAACTCCTGTTCTCTATTTTTTGTTTAATTTTTCTAACCCTTCTTTTTTGTAAGGTTTGCTGGGCTATTTGGCCATTCCTCCACCTCTTCCCCCCATAACTAAACTCTGAAGCCCCACTGCCTATGCAAGCAGCCAAATTTAAACTCATTTAGCTCCCTCGCCCCTTAAATAAAAACTATCAAGCAGTTTTCTCCTGCGATTTTATGTTAGAAAACTAGTTAAAATGGGTACACTACTGCTGACGGGGCAGCTGTGTTTCTGGGCAATGGTACATTGTTTCAGCCACCCACTCTCCCAACCCACAAACTCTTCCCCGTGTCCAGCAAGCCCAAAAGGTTGTCCTATCATTGCCTTTCCCCATCCATTTAACATAATGGGTCCGGGGGTATGATTGTAGTAATTCACTGGAATGAGGCCCCAGATATGCACCTGTGGAAGTTGGTGCCTGGCTGTGACATCATCAGAAAGGTCCAGCTAACCAATTGGGAACCTCCAATTATTGTGGGGGGTTAGAAGCATATGAAGGTTTTGGTTCCCTGCTAGTTCTTGGGCATAGGTGTTGGGGTTAGGGGTGCTGCCTTACCTCCCTCTTAAAGTGGCTTCCATCATATACAGGGTTTATAGGTTGGGACAGTGGCTCTCAGCACCTCCACTGCACACACTGTTTCTGCACCTCTGTTCTTTGGGATTTTTTTTTTATTATTATTATTGTGCGTCACTGTGGAGGAGCAAATTCTTGGCTTTATACAGCAGCTGGATTTCTCCTGGCGGACTGGCTTGATCCCGCTTCTATCCAGAAACACTCGCTCAGTCTCATTGTTTTCAGCCCACTGCTCAGCCTTGTCAGACGTGGTGATGGAGTTTTAATGCCTACCCCATCTTTTGAGGAAGATAAACGCTAATTTGCATTACACTGAATTTGGTCATTGAGCTGTGTGCAGTTTCCTAACAGTAGTTTCTTGGCCTTCAGCTTTTATTTACAAACAGCCATCATACTAGCCTAATTAGAAAGGGGGGCTGGCAGGAAGCAGGGTGATGGAGTATCACGATGCACCTACAGTCATCCAAGCAAAAGTCAAACATAGAGGCGCCAAAGATCTGGGTTACAGGAACGGAAGGGGTTAGATGCGCAAAGGAAGCCATTGTAGAGACGCCCCTCTTAACTACATATTTTTACCTGATCTGTAACGATGCACAGGAATCCTTCGAGTTAAGCCTCTTCGGCGCAGATACGTCAGGCCTGACTGTTATTGCACATGTCAGGTATGTTGAAGTGGGGGATAAGGCAGGCCATTGTGTTCTTCTGGACAGGACAGCTCATGATTAATGACTAGGCCCCGAATTCTCAGGAGGCGAGATGGAAGGAGGAGATTATATGGCCTTTACGGCCCCCCAGAGGGGCAGAACATGAGCGGCCATGTGCAGCGCTAAGCAAAACTGTCCTGCATGTAAAAAGGCATGCCCAATAGGCCCTCCCCAGAAGGACCACACTAGTTCTCTAAGCCAGCCGTTTTCAAACTTTATTTTTTCTCATGACCCACTAGAAGAAAATTGTTGATGCCACGACCCAGCATAATGTGATTGGATGGGGCCGAGGTTGAGAGCTTTGGAGTGTAGGAGGGGGCTCTGGCTTTGGGGGGGGTCAGGGCTGGGACAGGAGAGTCTACTTTGAGCAGCTCCCGAGCAACTGTGCAGCGGAGGGGCTAAGGCAGCTTCCTGCCTCTCCTGGCACTGCAGACCATGCTGTGCCCCAGAAGCTTCCAGCCAATGGGTGTGCGGAGCTAGTGCTCAGGGCAGAAACAGTGCACGGAGCCCTGTGCGCTTCCCCTTCCCCCCACACCTAGGAGCTGGGCCTGCTGCTGGCCACTTCTGGAGTGCAGCACAGTCTGCAGTGCCAGGGCTGGTAGGATGCCTGCCTTTATACCCCCCTAGTCACCCTGGCCCCCCTGCAGCAACGAGACTCCGTGCCCGACATTCCACCACCCAGTCCTGGGTTCTGACCCGTAGTTTCAAAACCCCGGCTCTAAGCCCATTGTGGGGGCAACAAGGTTTTAGCTGAGGAGGTGTTGCCTATATTTGTAACAGCTACCTGGCTTTCCCCTCCTCTAACGCCTTTTGTATCTTCCCTTCTAGTGCGTAGTGACCGATGCACTTTAGAAGCGAGTTAGATGTTAAGTTGGATGGACTGCAACGGTGATGTGTCATTATCAGAGAAATCTCCATTTGTGCTTTGCCTCATGCCTAGTCACCTACCTAACTACGGTACCTGTTTTTCAAACTTCCATGCTACAGGCTTCCTGCCTACAGCTTTGCCAAGATAAATTACAATTGGTTTCATAAACGATGACTCTTCCAGGAAAGGTTTGTCTGTTTTGGGCATTAGCACCATTTATCATTGCTCCAGTGTTTGGAGTTGGTTGCCCTTTTAGGGTGAGATGTCTCTTGCTTTCAGTGTGTGCTCAGGCATAGAAAGGACAAGGTCTTACCCCAAGAAAAATGTACTGAGAAGATGTCATTAAAGCTAATGAGAGTCCAGGCAGCTGCAGCTCATTAGAGTTTGCCTGAGGCCAATTGTAACTGAGACCTTTAAATATACATCATAGTCAAATAAACAACATCATATTTGAGCTGCACACTCAGTATCCGTTTCTGCACAGCCCTCCTTGTTCAGCCTTACGTTTGGCTAAGAAAATGTTCTCTGCTCAGTAACAAACTCAGAAGCAAATGAACCCATCACACTTAGGAATGGTGGCTGAGGCTTGTTTCAACTTTCAGAAAACACCCCTTGAAAGGAATTGATGATGACTGTGGGAGTCACTCACAACCCAATCCCTCTGCCCCGGCACATACGGCTGAAGGGAAAGCCGTTCGAATAGCAGCCTGCAATCCCACTGCAGACCGTAACTTTTCAAGCAATAAGTCATTTCTCCTCCTTCTGGCTTCAGGACACAACTTTACTATTTCGAGAGGGGAGGAATCGGCATTTTCTGTCACTATTTTTGGTTCCAGTGGAGCGTTTAGCTCAGTATTACAGATTGATGATGCTGGGGGATTCACTTAGCAGAATCCAGAAGCGGCACCTCCCTTGTATGCAGTGGCAAAGCGCCTCTTTCAAGCTGCTGGGTAAGAGATCTGGAGCATTGGAAATATGGATAGGCTACCCGATTTCTCACCTCCTTCCTATCGGGTTGCTTTGTGAGTGATCGCTGTGTGTGTCCTAGATCACCACAGGGATTTAGGTTCCTAGTGGCCACTGAAACCAATGGGCGTTAGGTGCTTCCATACCTTTGAAGATCTGGGCCTAAGTTTCACAGACTCCAAAGCCACAAGGGACTACTGCAGTGGTACCCAACACGGAGCCTGCAGGCGCCATGGCTCCCACTGGACCATTTCTGTGCGCCCGCCAAGTGATCAGGACCGGCCCCGCCCCCGGGCAAGCGGCGCATGGGCGGGGCTGGCCCCAGGCACACAGCGTTTAGGCAGCCCCACCCCCAGGAGCGCAGCGCAAGGGCTGTGCTGGCCCTGGGCACGTGGTGCATGGCGTATGGCGGCCCCACCCTTGGGCACACGTCACAGGAGCAGCGCCAGCCCCAGGAGTGCGGCACATGGGTTGCGCTGGCACCGGGCGTGTGGTGTAAGAGTGGCCCTGCTCCCAGGCGCTGGCACGGCCCTGTTCCCATGCACATTGTGTGGCCCTGCCCCTGGGTCACCGGCGCGTGAGCGGCCCCGCCTCTAGATGCCCGGCAGCCCCAAAAGGTTGGGGACCACTGGACTACTGTGATCCTCTAGTCTGATCCTCATGTCTAGAGCTTCCCCCAAGTCATTCCTAGAGCAGAGCTTCTAGAAACACATCTTGATTTAAAAATGGTCAATCGTGGAGATCCATCATGACCCTGGCTGGATGGCTCCAGGGGTTAATTACTCATACTATTCAAAAATTATGCCTCATTTCCACTCTAAAATTGTCTGGCTTCAACCTCCAGCATTGTATCATGTACCCCTGTGGTGTCCAACCAGTTCTGAAGCAATGGCCACTCTAGCGGCTACTGCTATAGCGAACTAGCCACATTATTCTGAAAATGTAAATAATTTTGTGAGCCAACTAGCCAGACTCAACCGGCCAAATAGCCACATGTGACTAGTGTGTGTAGACCTTTCTCTGCCAAACTGAAGAGCCCATTCAAAATCTGTTTCCTATGTGGGTACTTATCAGCTATAGGCAAGTCTCCCCACCTTCTTGTAAATAGATGGAGCTCTTTGAGTTTATTATTCCATGGCATTTTTTCTAACCCTCTAGTTATTCTCACGGCTCTTCTCTGAACCTCGCCAGTTTATCAACATCCTTCCTGGATTGCGGGTACCAGTAGTGGACACGGTATACTGGGAGCATTCGTTTCTCCAAATGGAGAGGTGAAATAACTTCTGCACTCCTCTTTGAGATTCTTCTCACAATAAAAAGTGGCACTGGGCTATTTTCCAGGAGCTATTGTTACCTTAAGAGGCTGTAAATTAAATCGCTATAATACGGGCTGAATTCTCCAGGGCAAGTCAAACTCAACAGCATGCGTGTAATAAGAAATAAAGTAACCAACCACCTCAGTCTCCTTTTTCTGCCAGCTCTCAAGGACTGCTCTTACTGATGTCACCCTTATAGTTCCTCTCCCTCCCCCCTGCTGTCCTTTGACCCTGATGCATTATTCCTGACTGAGTAGGGAAGGTCTTTGGGACAGAGGTTGTATTTCTTTTCTGAGCGGGTGTCTACGAGGCTGT